TGTACACAGTGATTAACGTGTTCGTATCCGCGTTTGATCGTTTCAGCACTCTCAGCATGTAGAGTCTTTTTCCTGCTTTTTTGACAACATTGTTTACGTGTTCGTTCCAATTCATATTATCCTGAACAATTACTCCCAGAACCCGAGCTGATGATACACGGTCTACAGCAATGCCATTTATAATTAAAGGTGGGAATTCCTGTTTATCTTTTGCAAAGTCTATTATCAAATCTTTGCATTTACTGATGTTCAGTTTCATATTGTTAACGATGGTCCAATTGTAAATAGTATCCACAAGTTCTTGGAGAATGCTATTGATATCCGGTGTAATACTTTCAGTGATAGTACTATCTTTGACGTATTTCCATCTGTTATTCCAGTCTGTGAGAAGGTCGTTTATCATAACGAGAAAAAGTATTGGCCCAAGAACTGTTCCTTGTGGCACACCTCCGTTTAAAGTTTGCCAATTTGATACACAGTTGGCTATCTTGACGCGTTGTTTGCGTTCAAAAAGGAAACTTCGAATCCAATTTGTAATTGTCGATGGTACCTTCATTTCATATAACTTGTACAGTAGGATGTTGTGATCTATAAGATCGAAAGCTTTCGAAAAATCGAGCAAAAAACCCTTACAGCGGTTTTTTGATGTATCAGTTTCATATAACAGGTGATGAACAAAGCTTAATAGGGCATGGGTTGTTGAGGAATTTTTTAAAGAACCAAATTATCATCTATCAATCTTTTCCTTAATATACTCTAGTAGCCAATCGGTAACAAATTGTTCACAGGTTTTAGACAGGGTAGGTGTAAGCAAAATGGGGCAAAGATCTTTGGTGATGTCCTCAGGCGAAGCTATTTTTGGAATTGGGATGACATTGGCTTTTTTCCACATGGTCGGAACAGTTGCTTGTTGGATGGAAACATTAAAAATTTATACAACAGGGGAAGCAAGTACGTAAGCATAGAACTTCAGAACCCAGTTTGGTATTCCATCTGGACCAGGAGATTTAGCAGTTGATATAATGGATAATTTATGGTATACCTCTTCTTCTTTAATGATAAACTCTGGTGGAATGTCATAAAGGCTGTTTTCTGGTAAAATGTCAATATGAAGACAATTTAAAGGAGGAATTTCTTTGGTAACTGAAACAAAAGCGTCATTAATATTTTCGGCCAGGGCTTTTCCTGACATCACCTGATTTCCCACGACAAGAGTTGAAAGGACTTTCTTCTTAGGATATCCTGATAACTGTTTTATTGATTGCCACCACTTTTTTGGGTTAGGGTTTAGCTTTAACTGTTCTAACTTTTTCTCAAGAAATGTGGATCTGAGCTTCTTACTTTCTCTGTTTACCTGATTTTGTAACGGCTGATAATGTGGACCTTTTCCATGATGGAATGCCTTTTGTCTAGTTCCGATAATTTTCTTAAATTCAGGAGTAACCCAAGGTTTGTCGTTATCATGTAATTTTACAGTTTTTATCGGAAGGAATGAATCCAATCCGGCATTTATGGTGTCTTGGAAAAGGTCTAATTTTTGTTCACAAGAAATACTGTGGTATAAATTAAATCCAAAATAGCATTCCCTCTCGTAGGTTGTTTAACAATCTGTTTTAAAGTAAAATGTCTAAGTATTGTGGAAACTGGACATTTATTAAAATCCCCAACTAATATTATGCCAGCATTTGGGTACATGGAGAGGGCCACATCAAGCTTTATGGTAAGGTGTTCGATTAGTGTGTTGTTGTCGCTGGATGGTGGGTGGTAAACCACACAGACAACCAAACATGAGAATCCTCGGAACAGTTTGTGAGGTCTCAGGTAAAGCCATAGAGTTTCGAAACAAACATCTTGCAAAAAATGATAGTGGGTATCTTTGGGCATTTGGGCAACCTGGTCTCCAATTTTTATGGTTCAATATAGGAATTTTTATCAAATTATCTGTGGTTACAAACCTTTTGTTTGTATGTGCAGGGGTACTGTTTAAACGATTATGTAAGTTAATTTGCCGTCTAGTTGTCCAAACTGGGATATTATTTGTTCTAGGTATTTGATCAGCTACGGGGTCAGAATATGAAATGCTTTGTCGGTCGTACTGGTCTATGGATGTGTGGGGTGCATCAAACGATTGACCAGATTTTCTTGTCTGATGGGTGGTAATTGTGATAAAAGGAAGGGAAACTCCATCAATGGTGGGGGGTAAGGGGGGTTTCTGAGGTAGAAAAGCATTTTATGCGACAGCGACCTCAACATGTTCCACCGATGTCGAGATATTCTCCCCGCGGGCATGGTGGCACATCTCTGTGGACACACGCCTGTTGCTTCTATTGTAATAAAATTGGCCATTTTCAGTCTCATTTGCGACGAGGAGATGGACAGGTCTCCGGCAACGCGAAGCCACTTTCCCAACCGAACAATGCACAGTATCAATAAGTTATATTAGCGTGGTCTAACTATACGGTTGGATTTCAAAAAAATTATTGTCCTCCAGTGGTGGTGTTGTGATTGCCTTGAAAACGGGTAACTAAATCAAATCCTCCCGGTTTACTGGGTCAAGGCGCTCATTTCCCTGCTGACTTGGGACCCCCTATTGTGCATGTTTGCATTTTTACTCCATGTGATTCATTCGTTGTAGACTTTTGCCCCTTGGCAATGGGAGTATGATGTCGAGTTTGATGCACGTGTTTTTTTGAGACTCAAGCAGTTGGTTGGATTACTTCTGTTGGGGAACCCATGGTGGTCGTGTCACACAATAGAAACGGGAGATGTTATTGGACATGTTTCTTAACTTGTTTTTTGTGATACAGACGGCTTTTGTGCAGGCGAGTTACACTGTCATTTTGCTTTTTGGGAGACAATCGCTGGTAGGCATCCCTTGCTTCAACACCATTAAGTGTTGGGTTGGATTCGTAACAAGGTTACGCTTGCTACATACTTCCGTCATTTTACGGGATCTTTCCAGGGAGAACATTATGATTCTGATCTCCCTCCGAAGTTGTTCGCGAATAATGGATCGTGTAAATCGTTACTCAGTTTATTCGCAAGACCCTTTTTGCCCACTTACGATCAGGGGCTATTTCCCTTGTGGGTAGAATAGGTTATGTTACGTCACCACAACTTGTCCTTCCGGCGTTGACAGTGGAACCTGCCCAGCCACGTCTCTGTCATGATGCCAGTGATTCCTATATTGGAAAACTTGGTTCTATTTTGACTGCTAACGGTAGGGATGGTGAATGGATCGTTTCCGCGGAACAACTTCAGGCGAGAGTAACCCCTAAGCAGGCTACACCTTTCTTTGTCGATAAGCTTAACCAACTTTCGGTACACCTTCAGAAAGCCTTGCCGATTTCGAAGACATCTACTAAATGCTTCATTGTTGCTCGTGATCGAGCATATTTTACAATGGCGTTTTTTAGTGGCGATCGACCTGGAGATCTCGGCCTCATTCACATACAAAATACCTGGAATTTTTGCGCTTTCCTAATGACGATGGGCTCTTGTTTAATCATATTTGGGGTAGACGTTAAGGAGTGGTGACCAAAATGTGTTTGGAATTCGTCGTACTCCGCAAACCAATATCTGCCCAATACGAGCTATAGAATAATATATTGATGTGGCGAGACAAATGAGTGTTGATCTTACTCGCGGCTAGCTCTTTCGTCCAACCACACCTAATGGTGGAATTCAGAATTTCCATTTACATCAGCATAGGCTAGACTCAAGATCTATTTGAAAGCCATGGGTGCTGATGATTGTGAAACCCTACATGGTTTTAGAGCTGGTTGTGCTATCACATTAGCCCTTACTGGGGCTGATTTGTGTGAAATCATGGATCATGTTGGTTGGAATCGTCGCCACACAGCTCCCTACTATATGCAGCTGGCCAAAGTTTTGCGCGCTGAGGGTGCATCCGCAACATTGGCTGATCCGGATGTTATCAACGTTGTGAATCCTTGGCAAGATGTCAATACATTAAGCGTTTTGTGTGTGTTTTTCCATCAGAAAATCTCATAAAGCATGCAGATCCAGAATCTGGATGAATATGAGATTGGTATATTTTTTTAGATATGAGGATTGGGAAATAGAGCTGAAGTATGATTTACAGAGGGGCATGTTGGGTAGCAGGGGTGTAGCGATGACTAGATTTTGCCTGACGTTGGTCAATATTTTCCAATACCTTAATTACAACTGAGCATGAATATGAGTGGTATGAAAATAGGATACTATTCATACCACTCATAATGATATGCAAAGATCAAACAAGCTTAAAATATTAGTAACAAAGGAAGTAATTAGAGTGGAACAGACTAAAGGATTAACTGGGAGTATATATAAATGCATGTTTTGGCATTCTACTCAGTTCTTGCTCAGTTCCAGCGGACAACCAGATATGAAATTTATGACTTGGCAGCCCACCGGCCCACCCTTGAAATTCGTGTGGGTTGCTCATTTAGTCCTCCTGCCAAGCTCTCTAAGCTTGGCCTTGCCCGTTGGTCAATATTTTCCAATACCTTAATTACAACTGAGCATGAATATGAGTGGTATGAAATAGCATACTATTCCCAGGGCCGGATTAATGTTGCACGAGGCCCGTGGCAGATTTTTAGCGCTAGACCCCC